TATAATGACCCCACTGTCCATGTCTAACCTGTAATACAGTATGCATGCAGTAATGTATATGGACAGCTACAATAAGCAGACGATACAGATATAGTACCTGTACTGTGCCATTTCCTTACACAAAAGTAAATATATTGTACAACAAAATTTCTCATGCTGTCTTTCTCAGTTCCCATTGTTTGTGATGCCCGAATCTTTCGATTTTGTAGTGCAACTCGTGCCATATTTTTCCATGAAATTTAAGAGCAATCTCTTTGCTATTAGTTATATTTTTATATTTACATTATTTGCTGCAGGGTACTGGGTGTCTGTTACAGCAGTGTTTCCCAACCCAGTCCTCAGGGAATCCCGGGCAGTCCACGTTTTTGCTTCCTCTCAGCTCCCAGTGCACCTGTACCAGGTATTCGGTGTTCCTGATTGGCTGGGAGCTAGGAGGAAGCAAAAACATGGACTGTCCGGGGCTCCCCCAGGACTGGGTTGGGAAACACTGTGTTACAGTACTGTACTTAATGTCTTGCCTCTCCTCTAGAATTACCGAGATATGCCCAAATTGACTTGCATCGGGTGGTCCTGGCCCCAAATGCGGATGCAAGCCGCTGGATACCTGTAATATATAAAGTCAAGCTGAAGGATACCTGTATTAGATAAAGTCAAGCCGAAGGATACCTGTATTATATAAAGTCAAGCCAAAGGATACCTGTATTATATAAAGTCAAGCCGAAGGAAACCTGTATTATATAAAGTCAAGCCGATGGAAACCTGTATTATATAAAGTCAAGCCGATGGATACCTGTATTATATAAAGTCAAGCCAAAGGATACCTGTATTATATAAAGTCAAGCTGAAGGAAACCTGTATTATATAAAGTCAAGCCGATGGATACCTGTATTATATAAAATCAAGCCAAAGGATACCTGTATTATATAAAATCAAGCCAAAGGATACTTGTATTATATAAAGTCAAGCCAATGGATACCTGTACCCTTATGGAAGCTACTATGCGCAAAATGTCTGTTTGCTTCTAATCATAGGCACCAAGTAGTTGAATGACTCTGTTGGTAAAAATGTTCTACCAAATAAATGACTTTCAGATCCAAAGGTTCATGTCTATGCTTCCACACACTAACTTTCCTGCTTATACACTTGACTGCTGATATTGTACAGGATCCTGAAATAACATGATCCATCCCCAAGCATTACGATCAAATCCCTATGTCCTCTTTCTTTGCAAGGATTTAGCTCTTCAAATTTTAATACATTTATGCTTGTATACTTGTAACAAAAGTCAATAAGCAAATTTATAGGGGTTATGAGTCAAAGACAAGGATGAGACCTTATTTGCACTAACTGAAGTTTCTTGTTTTTCCCACTGATGTCACATTTTATTTAAACTTTGTTAGCTGTTCCGTTGAAACTAGACAGTGACACTCACAGTCACTGACACGAACACATGACCCACACCCCCGGTCCGCTCACAGCCCCCTTATCTTTGGCCTGTGATGCCCCAGCTCCTTTCTGCTCGCTTATCAGGTTGCTGGAGACGGCTGACGGCAGCGCTATCAACGTCCCCAGATGACATCCACTCTGCGCCGCGGCCGCCCGTTTCAGTACATCTCCTGCTGCACCGTCACGCTTTAAACTCACCAAGAAACTTACAAACATATCAAACCACCGGCCAATCAGCCGCTGCGTCGATGCACGACAGACCAATCAGTTATGAGGTTAACCAGCTGAAAACATTTAAACAGCCCCCAAACTCATGTCCTACACATTCAAATTGCTCTTTCTTACCCCAAGTGACTCTCCAGTTAGATCTCAAACACCAGTTCCCAGTTTGGTTCAATTATATATTTTTGGTATATTTGGTTTTATATATTTTTGCTTGTTTATTTGTTTGCGTGATTGTTTTTCTGTTGGGGCGGTTATGGGGCAGTTCTGTTCATCTTCACAGTATGCTCATTCCCGCATGTACTACTAGTACTACAAATATTAATAATTATAATAATTTCTTTCTACTTTAATTGCCTCTATGGGGAAAACACAAAATGTGTGGTATTTTGTAGAAAACTGTTATTTCCTGAGTTTTGCCGAATAAAGATACATGTGGTAAACACAGGGTAACACTAGGGTACACTGTGGATGGGGCTTCTGCCCCATGTAGATACAGTCATGTCCCGCTATGTTGCGGTTCAGCTACCGCGCCCCCGCTATATATCGCGGATTTTTCCCTGATGAATCACAGTTCTCTGCAGTGTGTGTGTGTGTGTGTGTGTATATATATATATAATTACATATTATTATTATGTTACTCACATCCTTAGCCCGGCATCCACATATCATATGTGTTTACAAAGTGTGTTTTAATAAGTTTCATAATCAATACTTCATTGATCCCCATGGGGAAATTGCCTTTACGCCTCACTCAGCTTGCTCTTTGTAGAGTAAGTTGTCCTTGAAGGGCAGCCACCCCGTAGCGGCGCCCAGGGAGCTGGGGGTTAAGGGTCATGTTCAAGGACCTGCAGGCGTGCTGAGGCTGGGTTTGAACCGGCGACCTTCTGATTACAGGCACACAGGCTTAGCCCACTTAGCCACACACTGTGTTTAAAGCATGAGGGAGGGGTATTTTAAGGCTTAAACTATAAAAAAATGTTTATTTATATGGTCTTTCTATATAGCGGATTTTCACTTATCGCTGATGGGTCTGGAACGTAACTTCCGCTATAGGGGGGGGGGATCACTCTATATCATTTAAATGAACTGAGATGAAACCAGAATACCCACAGGAAACTCACTGCACAGGATGAACATAAAAGCCCTATGCACACTCACACGCACACACACATGCTCACACGCACATATACGCATGCGAGCATGTACGCACTCACACACACGCACACACACCCACACCTGTACTTATATCTTTTTGGGGACTCTCCATTCATTTCTATGGGCAATACCCTAATTCCAACAATGACAACATTAACCCCTACCCAGCCCTAACCTTAACCATTGGTAACCAAACAAAATACAAGACTTTTAGCATTTTTAGTCAGTCCCCTTATTTAAAAAATGGTCCCCACAATATTAGAATAACAGGTTTTTAATCACAGAGGCCACAGCAGGATTATTTTACAGTTACTACATTATCAACTTTTAGTACATTAAGAATGGAAAAATGATTATGTTACTGGCAGTTATGACATTGTTTGCAGATATTAAAGTGCCAGGAGATAAAGCAGAAAATTCCAATGTCAGATCTTTGGTCTTCCTCAATCCGTAGAGACCCAGGACCCTCATCAGCATGAGAAGTCAAGCCACTGAGTGACGGTTACACACCTGCTCCATATGCACCACCCCGCTAATCACAAGGGCCAAAGGTACCTGGTCATTCTCGCCTTGAAACACACGTCTGGTTACACACCTTGGCATCATATTTTCTTACTGAATATTTTGCAAGGCAAACATGGCTTAAAATTCCAATTTCCACAAAAATACTTCATGGTGAATATCAAATTAAAATAAAAGTTTAAGTGCCAGTTAAAGCCAGTGTTTGAGATTTTTTTTCCAAGACACCCCAGATGGATGAATGCACATGGTTTGTTTGCAAACCTTTGTGTCAACACAAATATGTGACAGACTCTATTGATGTATTTAAGGTAAATATTTTGTTTTATAAATATTAAAAGAAAATTCTTCCCCCCCCCACCCCCCCAATATCATTCAGCCCTAGTTCAACGTCTACAGCTAAATCTATGGCTAAAACGCTAGTTATATGATATGCAGATTTAAAATCAAATGTTTTTATTCCAGGTGCGCCTGCTGAATGGGCTCATTAACTTATGCTAAATTTATGAAATATCTTTTAATCACATCCATTTTAAATTCCACCTTAATCCATCCAGTAAATTTCCATCCAATAAATGAGTCGTTTCTCTAAAAACTGAAGGAAGTGCTGTGATATTCTCATTTTGCATCTGGCACTTTCCCAAAGTACACACTTCAAAAGAGAGAAGTCATATTCAAAGAAATGGTCTTATAGGAGGGTGACGGCCAGAACAGACTGCAGTATGTAAACGACCATAAATCATGGACCGACAATCAGTGGCTGAGGGCCTTGGGCGGTCATCTCGAAAGTAAACAGCAAAAACATATCGCCGTTTACACCTGTGTCTATTCATGTGTATCCAAGGTGTCCAACTGATCACCTGTGTTCAGACTTCATTACTGCACCACACGCACCTGTCATTTAAGTCCTTGTCAGGGACACATCAGGACACATTATCACTTACTCTACAAAAGACATGTGGTCAAATGTGTCCCAGACCGCCTCAGTTATTAGTCAGAGTGACCGGATCACAATGCGTCTTGGTGGTCGGTCATTTTTACAAGCTGAACACTTGCAATCCGAACACCCAAGATGAATTTTAATACCAAGCATAAACAGGGTCTTAGACAGTGACATGAAGGGTCCCAGCATGTCGGAAGAGCGGCTAATAGGTAAGACATAAGGCCAGTTTGGTGGCCTTCTGTGAATCACAACACAAAATGTCAGGGTCGGGGGTGTGTTTCAGAACGCTGTACTGGGGGAACTGGCCAAAATCAAGGAATTAGTAAGAAAGAAAAAGATTATGATTTATCATGGTGTACCTCAAGGAAAATGACATGCTTAGCAAAGAAACTCA